AAAATTTAATTGTGAAATTAATTTCTTTACCTTAAATTTAAATATAAACCTAGGAGATATAGAACCCTGTGACTAATGGCGTCGTCTAAACAAATTAAGACTTATGGATTATTCTTTTCAAATTCGTCTCAGTCTTTTTGCATTAACAAAGGAATATGTTAATATGTGGAATTAAAAAATATTAATAAGTGATACACTTCCCCTTGTCGTTCCCAATTTCTACGCAACATTGAGGCAGTTACTTTTTTTACATTAAAAATGGACCAATTAGAAATGTTATCGGTATAATTAACTCACGTGACTTTCCACCTCTTCTTCCGACATGGCGCTCCTTCCTCCGTGTCTTCTGACTTCTCTTGGCATGCTTCACTTTATCCCAATGTCAATGGACTTGAACTTCGACAATCGCTAAAGACGAGTTACGGAAGCCGGCGCCTCGAGAACTGAGTCGAACCATGGACTGCTTCCGAACGCGGGAAAATTCACTAATGAAATGAAAATTTGGAAAACCGTCGTATTTACGGGCCCCGGATCAGGTTGAACTCTCCTCTGATTGGTCGGCGAAAAGCGGACCTACCGGGTAGTAAAGGTTCCTGCAGGAGGTGCGTTTATTGTCACCTAAAGTTCCCCCTTAAGGCCGAGCGGAGTACTCCAAAATGGCGGAAAGGGACGAAACTATGGGCCGATTTTCGGAAAGAAAGGCAAAGCGGAAATACGGGTGCAAAGTGAAGCGATTATAGAGCCAGGGGATTAGGCGACCACGTGAAATATTTTGGGCAAAATTTTCAACGGGGGCCCTTTAAACGGTGCCCTCCTTGGGCCGAGTAATCCCTTAAGGCGCCAAATTATGCCCAGGGCGAAAGAAAGGCTCCCGAAAAAAAGATTTCGCTTATAATTCATCCCGCTAAGTTGAAGTGCGAATGGAATCAATTCAATCTTGCGAATTTTCAGAATACGCCTCGAGAGCTCAGTAAAACCAAGTCAGCCATATTGAATTTTAACGTCAAGGGCGTGTAAATTGCGTGAAATTCCCAACGGGTATTTCGCTGAATTTTTCACGATATTCTCAATGTGTGGATGCACTTGAAATCGATGAATATGGAAAACATATCAGTCCTTCCGTACTTGGTTTAACATTGTATTCATTGTCGGATCGTCGCCTCGGAAATTGAAGACTGTTAAAGAGAAATATTGAAATCTTATACAACTTTCGTTGGAAGTTTAATTCGGACATGGTGTAATAATTTTATAACATTTCCAAACAATATTTATATCGCATGTTATAAATTTAAGACGTTTGTCTCACTTTTTCTACAAAACTTCAGACACTTACAATATTGATGTTACAAAGTTACAAATTTATTTTCAAGTTTATCATGAACGTACAGCAATTCACATTTGAGACGTGAAACTTACAACTTTACCGTAATCTTATGTACCAAAAGTGTATGAATTTTATGAATATTTTAAATAGTGTAACCTCGCCAACGGGCCACTTTTCTCATAGGGATATCTAATTTCGTAGTCTTTATTCGTAAATGTTATTCGCTTCTCATGATATTAGAATTTCACGCAATTTCCCTACTTCTAACGTCAAAATTCAAAATGGCCGACCTTTATTAGCCAACCCTTAACGCATTTTTATCTGGAATAGAGTGAAACGATTATAATAAATTATAATTAGGCTCGTCATCGCATCAATTATATTTTCATTCCACAGAATAATTTTAATTTGACAAGACGATCCTGATTTCACAGGGTAGGAAGGTTTGCAGGACTCGAAAGGACGATGGCCGAGTCATGTATTCGCGGAAATTCTCGTTTCTGCCAGGTAAAATTAATGCCGAAGGCAATTCGCCTTTCGGGCCCCTTGCCGCCTTGAATTTGGGATTATTACTGCACACTTTTGAAGTTTCGTGCTCGGTGCGTCCAGGGGTCCTGGGAATTACCCGGGAGCCTTCTCAGGATATCGAGGTGCGTCCACAGAAGGACCGGAAGACCGATCCTTCCACCTGTTCTCCACGCGTCCACCTGAATCAATTTCGGGCCAATCAGGTCAATTTACTAATCCAAAAATCCCATTTCTAACGCTCTTTCGCGGCCCAATGAGAATTAAAACCGACCATTCGACTTGGGAATGAAGAAAGATAAAAAAGTGATACGAATAAAAATAATTTTTCATACATCTTTCTTTAGCAATTGGTTGAGACATCGAAATCGGATGTTACCTTCGATTGCACATCCAAAATGGGAGGATGTCAATCGATTATCCATTTTCATTGTTCCCGTTATTCTTAGCCACTTGGCTCAAGTAACGGAGGGTCGGAGAGAGAGAAAGAGGAAAGGCAGGTAAAAGGTATTACGATATGTCATTCATCAGGTTTTCACCTGGCGAGTCCACGGACGTGTCCGGACAGGTAATCGCACAGCATGGTTCCTTTTCTACAGTCGACATTGTGCGTAGTATTACTCTGTTTTATAGTACTTCCATTAAGGAACTCGCACCAAAGATGGCCGACTGAGGAACAAGGGAATTGCCAGAATCCCATTAGGAGTTCCGACAACGTTTCTATTAGGCCAGTTTATTTTCATGTATGGTTCGACTTATTTCAGGTGACCCTCTTGTTAGTCTCTGTACATCGCTATCATTACTTTCTAGACATGTCTTGACAGCCGATGTGCAAAGTCGAGGCGTGCCCAATCGAGTTTGCTTGGAAATCGCGGAAGATGATGCCGGGGCATGTTTCGCACTTCATCGTGTAGTATTAATAAATCATTAAAATCCTTTCCCTGAACGTGCAAAAGGAAAATCAAGAATTACACGTATTTTTTACATCACAGGTATTTGTATATCAGTACAATGATAGGTACAATATTTTATTAATAAAATCCGCATACACCCTTCTCCTAACCTGTAAAGTCGCCATTAGGGAAACGCTGTAGCGTTAACTCGCTCTCCAAGAGACCTAAAGTAAAACTCATACAAACGATCATAAAATTAAAACCTTATCTAAAAAGAATGATAAACCATACGTACTAAATGACTTTCGAATATCAAATGTATAAATTTTCTACGCAATTTCATAAAATTCCAACATGATGTTATAAAATTATAAGTTTATTTAGAATCGTATAATAAATGTATGTTAATTCACTGTTAAGACATCAAATTTAGAATTTTACTATAACCTTACGAACTAAAAGTGTATGATATGTATGAATTTTTTGTTAACAGTGTAGTATTAAGAAAGTATTATAAATCCGTTCCCTGAACGTTCAGAAGGAAAATCAAGAATTCCACGTGTCTTTTACATTACAGGCATTTATATATCAGTACAATACTTGACAGATACAATATTATACTAGTAAAATCCGCGTACACTCTTCTCTTAACCTCTAAGCCCGCCACTAGGGAGACGGTCAAGCGTTACCTCGCTCTCCAAGAGACCTGAAATAAAGCAGAAGCTTAAACGTAAGAGTATTCCCTCAAAAGTACCAACACGTAACTCACGTATACCCATACGGGCCTCTGGAAACATCAATAATTCAGCAGATTCTCCGGGAGCACGGTGTGTGCCGTTTACCATTTAACGCCATCCGCGTTATCGAGATTCGAGGCTCGCCGGACAACGGGTTTTCCGAAGAATGGCCGCGATTCGCCCAATGAAATCAACGTTTATTGTCCTGAGATTCTTTTTTCTCGCCCGTTACGGGCGTCCCTCCGATATTTTCGTGCACGCCGAGGGACGTAAAGTAAGGCGGAGACTTAACGATTATGGAACTCTGTTATAGGCACGGAGGCACGCAACCGTGCATGCACGCGAGCACGCACGCACGCGGCCAGGCACGCAGGCACGCAGGCACGCAGGCGGCTACGCACGCACATAGCCCGACACGGCACGCACGGCCCTCCTCGCTCCGTTTTAATTTAACTCTCCAACGGCACGACTCTGGCCTGTCCTCCGTTTCGACGTCCCTTCCGCGAGTTCGCCGAGAAAAGGAGAATCCACGCGATCTCTTCAGACTGCCGAACGCCATTCGGCGGCCATCCTTCAGCCACACTTCAGCGTCTCTCCGCTCGTCGTTCTCTGCGAGGTGCGCACCAACATCCACGTATATCGCCCTACGCCTGATCTAAAGTCAAGATATATACAATCTGGAACACGAGGGAGCTTTTTATCAACTTCTCCTCACCGGTCGTACCCCTGATCAGGGCCCTCGGCCATTGTCCTTCGCCGGCACGGATTTCGTTATTTATCTCGCCAGTTTTCTTCTGCTGTGCATTCATTGTGAATATTCACACTTCTTCATGGAAATCCCAGGGCTGCGTCCCTTGATTCGAACTTCAAGACCGGAAATCGAGATCAGAAGTCGCGAGGTGCGCACGCCGATGCTCGATCGGTGACGCCATTTTGATTCGGAGATGTGCGCGATCGCTGCCGTGACCACGGATTTTTAAATGCATTTATGTGAGCGGATGTGAACGCGCATGGTGTCCATGGTTATGCGTGTTAACTCTTTCCTTTCCTTTCCTTTCCAATCTTTGAATACAGTTTTTGTCTATAAATCGGACTCGTGGTCTACCAACCACCTACCACCGTTTTGACTTTCCAATTCTGAAGCATTAACATATTGTTATCGCGGCTTCAATTCCACGAATCTAATTATTTATGGTGCATGTATTTTTATTCCAGATATAACTCCTGCGCAGAAGATTCTTGATATTACCGGTATCTGCGGAAAGCAGGACTTACAGTTTCCGAGGTAAGCGTCGCAGTTTTTATTGATTCTACGTTCCGAGGCATTAAGAGTTCTGTTTAATATATCAGAATGCTTAAGTATTGTTTAATTCACGCTTATTAACCGATTTCTCTTTTCATTAGATCTCTTAGGGCTAATTCTGGGTTTCTTTCGAAATCGCATTTGAATTAACCGCCGCCGGAGCGAGCGCCGCCATCTTGGTTCTCCAGTCCCAGTATGTTTGTGCGCGGTGGCTGGCGTGACTTTTCTTCCGTGGACGTCGCGTAGAGGCGAGACGCGCGACAGCTCGCGAACGGATCGTCCCGAGGAGGTCACTCGTCGGATTCGGCAGGGTGCGATGTCAAGCCAAATATGCCTCAAGTGGAACAGCTTCTTGAGCAACATCGCCACGAGCTTCGAGAGCCTCTGGGAGGAAGAGGGTCTAGTCGACGTGACCCTGGCGAGTGACGGACAGTGTCTCACCGCTCACAAGGTGATACTCTCAGCGAGCAGTCCCTTCTTCAAGAAGGTTTTTCAGGTGAGAAGTCGTACCTAACCTGTAAATTCCGAGGTTAGAATTGTCAAGAGTTGGTTGTTTCTATCGATTACTCCCTTTTTTGTCGTGTAGCTGCTGATGAAGGTCGAGTTTGACAGCCGGGCATCGGTCGTTTGTTAGGTCGATAAAGCTCGCCACTAGGGCAACCGGGAGGTGACAGCTCGTTTTTAATAACAAATCACCTTCCTGGTCGTCTTGGTGGTCGATAGGAGTGATCCAGTAGAGATCAGAGGATTGTACTTTGGATTTTATATAGAATATGTCCTTCGGAGGAGATAAGATAATATAAGAACTGACTTGGAGCCGCTAATGCTTGTGACCTTTTTGACAGGTTTTGGAAACGAACGAGAATGATAACGTAGATCTTGTTGTTGCAGACCAACCCATGCCAGCATCCAGTGATAATACTTCAAGACGTACACTTCAGCGAATTGGAGGCACTTCTCATATTTATTTACAAGGGCGAGGTGAATATCGAGCAGAAGAACCTGCCAGCCTTGCTAAAAGCTGCAGAGACTCTGCAGATCAGAGGTCTCTCTGGGGGAGATATCTTTGCTAAGGAATCGTATAAGAGGCTCGCCGAACTCGAGCAGCCTTTATCCGAAGAGGCTGCGTCGATACTCGAAGAGACTCCTAAGAAAAAACAGAAAATCAGCAAAGTGCAAAACAATTCTATATTGGAAAAAGCTCTGACGCCACAGATATCGCAGTCTGAAACAGTCAGTGAATCAACAAATAGTGAGAGGAGCTTTAAGGAGCCCGATTTACCTGAATCATTACCGAATCCGGTTAACCAACGATTAGAAATGAAAGTAGGTAGACCTGCATTGTGCTTACGCTAAGTAATGTCATTGTACTCGGTGGTTGTAATGTATTTTTATTTTTAGTTGGAACCATTTGAGATGTCCGTAGAGGATCTTCAAAAACATTCACCAGCAGGAAAAGAACTTGCGGAACGCCTGGACACGGGACAAAGAGACTGCACTATAGGTTGGTTTGAAAAAGATTTCCTTATTCATGCAATATGTTGTAAAAATGTATTTTTTTTCTGGTCTGTGTTGCCTGTCGCAAACATCAGACTAATGTGTTCAATGTTCATGACCAACAATTTATCGAGTGATTTCATTATCTGCATCTTTTGTAATAGTAGAAGAAGTTATATGTAATCGGTGAATATTTTCTCATTGTGATTTATGTCTATTTCGACAGTAATCACTGGGGTAAATTACTTATTAAGCTTTTAAACCTTCATCATTGTAAGAAATATTTATCGAGTACTGTCTTTCCTATTTCTGGTACACGTTTATCCTCTTAACTTAAACTGTGCACAACCTTTCTGTCATTTATCCCTTGTCCATTACATGCACGAAGTGGATTTGGTTTATTTGCCTCCCATGCCTCGCTGCCAGTATTTCGCACAGCCATGCTCCAAAGAGCACTCGGTCACCAAAGCTTCTCTTTGGCACTGTCGCCAAAAACTAGCCAGAGACTTTTAGTTTCGCTTTGGTCAAGCTTACCATTACCTTCGGTTTGTGTCAAGACACTCTTCTTTCATTTGGCATGATTTGGAGAGAATGAGAGAGTGTCTATGAGCAAACGAGAGAATAAGTGTGTGGTAGAGCGAAGCAATGGATGCTATTCAGGCCTCACAGAGAGTTTCCGCTTCTTCCAGATCGTGACACTTTCCCTCATCCCGCTGTAAAATGATCATGAAGTTAAGGTGACATGAAAGTGATATCTAAAAGTATCATCTATGAAACTTTTCTCCAAACTGAGTGTACCGAATCGTTTGAAACTTCACCATGTTAATACAAAGGCCCTAGCGAAAGTCCTGATACCCATGAAATTTTATCCTTTTAAATTTGTTTATAAACAATTTTTTAATTTTCATAAAAAATTAAACCCTTACGGGTGTCGACACCTTCCTTGGAGCCTTAATATTTACATGGTATAATTTCAAACGGTACAGATCGGAGGGTAGTTTCATAAACGATTGGTCCTCCAGATATCACTTTCACATAACCTTAAAATCGTTTCTTAAACTTGTTCGCGTGAGGTAGGAAAATTTGGCAACCGGTGAGGCCTGGAATCTTTAGCATCTATGTTGGCTATTCCCTCCGTCGCCCTGAGCGCTAGTGCGATGCCGCGTCTCGCTAAACCGCTGATGTGTGGCAGGGTCTGGGAACAGCCCTGCTGAAGACATTTCCGGTTTGTCCGGGTTGTCGGGCCTAACCGGATTCTCCGACGTGAAGCCACTGCTTTACGCGTATCAGCAGCTGCCCTACGCGGACCTGCTTCCTAGTCCGGACGTGATCTCTACCTGGGCCTCCTCTCGTCCAATGGACCACCTGGCCTGCGACCTCATGAAGATCCTCTTTACGCCGGAGGAGCGAATACTTTGCAACGTGAATGGCAAGATGGGCAAGCAGCAGTTCGACAGCAACAAGATCCACCTCATACGAGAGGTACTCCTTCACTTTAGTGGCATCGCACCTAACAGCGTAGAATGGGAGGAGGCATGGAAGAACTGCGTCACCAAGATCGACACCAGCAACCGAGGCCTCAAGAGGTATCTGTTTCAGAGGCGCTCCGTCTACCCCCAATGACTAGGGCGTTTCAAGTCAGGGGTCAAACGGAAACGTTTCCACTGGCTGGAATAGAAATGTACCCGTCGTCCTTTCTAGCCGATCTGGATGGGCTTCGAGTGACAGTTTGGTGTCGAGGTCTTTAGGTGGATGTAAGTAACGACTGCAGAGACCGAAGGATTCGCAAGGAGGCAAGTGCAATAGCGTCGACAGGACTGCCAGTTCTGACGGGGATCGGAGAGGTGGTTCCGGTAACCTTGAGGAAGGTGGTGCATCGGTGATCTGGCTTCGTAACAGCAGGTGACAGGTGCTCGCGGAAGTCAGACGTGTTCCGAGGGTGATCGGATTCTTAGTATACGCAGAGGTCGAGTTATTTATACGCTTCCGTTTGCTGCCGATGCAAATGATAGTTCTAAACCCTACGATGTAATTTCTCTCACCGATTTCCTTGTAGTCCTTTGCAAGATGGTAGAATGTTACGCAGTCGTAGACTCGATAGTCTTTTCCTTCGTTCGCTGTGTCTTAGGATGAACTCACCCTTGTGGAAGAGAACAATATAGACTGCATATGGAAACCATGTATATGTATGTGTAGTTTCCTATCTGAATCAGGGCGTTTTATCTAATTTGTATATAATTGAGAGGTTTTATTTAATTTGTAAATAATTTAGAGATTACCAGGAGATTGTTTGGGGAACCGTTTGTATTTTATACGTGAGTTTACACATCTCTGAACACGGATGTGTGGATACGATTATATATGTACGCACGACTTATTTGAAACTCATTTATGGGATACACGTGTTTAGGAAACAACGTATAAATTGTATGCAAATTGGGTATTGCTCTTAGATGATATACTATGAATGAACGTATAAGTATGCTTTGTACACAGGATGCGATGCCAAACTTTATTGTCTCAAATGACTTTCTTATCGTAGCATTGGAAATTTACAGAAAGTCACAAGGTGCAAGTATGTTGTCTTCGGAGCCTCTACTTGGATAACTTGAAATACCTTCCGATGGTTTCCTGGGTGTCGGTTACTTTACATTTGGCTCCATCGAACAACCTTGTGTACGATATGTATTTTTCTACAGTCTGCAACGAGGCGAAAGAGTTATTTGGGGTAATAGGAATTCCACTGGTGATCCTGTAGAATCGACGGGATTTTCTTCTGCACGGGTCGTACCGTCCAATTATTTGTGATCTGGCGTTTCCGAGATTCGCCGAAAGAGACTTGTCCTTCGTTGATCCTTTTTCTAAGGTACCTTAAGTAACGTGTCACATTCCTTTAATGTTTAAAGTACGGTGTTCACGCGAGTATGCACTAACCGTAGAAAGGTATTTTTCTGTAGTACAAGAGGATATACTGCATTCCTTAAGGGGATGTTAAAGTGGCATCCGAAAGATCAATCGTCCATGAAACTTTTCTCCAAACTGGGTGCACCGAATCGTTTGAAACTTTCCACGATAAACATGGAAGCTATAAGGAAGGTCCTGACACTCATAAAATTTCATGTATTATACAAAATTTTGAAAATGTCTATAAACAAATCTAAAAAAAAATTGAAATTTCATGGACGCCAGGATCTTCCTTATAGCTTACGTATTTACATTGCCAAGTTTGAAACGATTTGGTACACCGAGTTCGGAGATATGTTTCATGAAAGAGACCTCTTTGACGCCACTTTCACATCGCCTTAAAGGGGGTTCCTAAATGTATGACGTACATCGGACACATACCACACGAAACGAGAAACTGTTCACGCAGACACAATACGTAGGACACACCGAAGTAAATGTATGCGGGCGCGCGAGCCACTCTGCAAGAGACGTAGGTTGGCTCGGTTAATGTTAAGAAACGTAGCTTTACGAGGAGAATTAGTAACTTAAGGTATGCTTGTAGAATATTTAACTGGAAAGGCGTCTCACGTGTGATGCAGAAACTACTATTAGGTGTAAATGTACAATTCAGTCGCCTCTTTATAAGAGAGCCGGTGTTCTACGTCGCTGTGGAAAGAGCCTAACTTACAAGAGAAACCTTCCGGCATGCGAAAATTAATTTGTGGGTGACAATTTTTATCGTACTCGGCAAAGGATTTATAATTTACAGTCGCAAGATTTGCAGGTTTCGTCGTACGTCGATAGGTTTCCCCTGTGAGTCCCCTCTTGAGGTTATGTTCGGTTATGCCCGACGACCGTTAAAATCGGTACTTGTAGACGAGGTATGGAACTGGTCGCAAATAAACATATTTTACATTTGTAATGGCCTACTCATTTACATCGAGGAGTAGGAGTCAGTCGGTGTGGCCTTTTTTTTCTCACTCTGGAGAGCCATATGTGACGTAACCGAACAATCCTTGCAGGGTCTCCGAAGCCGCAGATAAGCGTGATCGCTGAGGCACGCGAGGTATCGAGTCCAGTTCCTGAAGGAAGTCCTGCAGTCCTGGTTAATGAAAGTGCCCAACAAAATCCTGGAAAAGCTGTTGATCAACCTGGTTCCCTCAACTCTGGTGATGGTAACTCCAGTGAGCTGACGGATTCTCACACGGAGTCGAGGAACTATCTCTTGGAATCCCCGGAGGGTGATCCTGGGGTCTCTGGAACTGTTCCTCCAGGATTTGTCAGTGCCAGTGCTCTTGAGTCGGAGGACTTTCAAGCTATCAGGGAAGGCCCTGTGTACCCGCCGTTTCCTTGTCCCTTTTGTGATAAAGCTTACGCCAGCTGGGGTTTTCGCAGGAGACACATCAAGGCCTGTCACACAATTTCCCCTAAACTCAACTGCAAATGGTGTTTCCAGGTATATTAGTTGGATTGCTTCTAATGAAAATGTACTCAGGGTAGAGATATGGTGAACTTTTTGGATGTCAATTCTCCAGGTCCTTCCGACTCATGCTGCTTGGAGGCGACACGTAATATCAGCTCACAATCTATCAGCCAGTGATGCGCACAATGGACTTCTGATTCTGGAGGAGGCTCACATGGTTCTGCAAAGCTCTCATCCGACAAGACTGGAAACTTTGGTAAACATAATCAAGCAAAGTGCTAAGCATAACTGCGGGCAGGATAGCGGTGGATAAAGTTTGAGGTGATAAGTCTACAGATGGCTTGGAAATGGTGTTTTAACTAACAGCAGTGCACTTAGCCATGTACTCCTGGGTTTTAGCATGTAAAATGTGTATTTGAGGAGCGTTCAAGGTTCGTAAATTCGTCCCTGATAATCGTGGTGGTCTGTTACATCGAAGCTGCTACTGATGAGTATTACTGTACGTACGAGATGCTGTGATTGTAAGGTGTTAGAATAACTGTGATCTGTAAAGCGGATGTGGTTATTTTGTACTTAGATACTTTAGATATATATATACACACATACGACTTTCCCGGTGAAAATGACTGACAATACATTTAGTAGGCTATAATTCGAAGTTAAGTAATTCCTCTTACGCACGGTTTCTGGAGTTCTTCGGCCTCCCTTCCCGTGGCGGAAATAAACGCACATTTAAATTTACAATCGATTTTATTAATTCAACAGCAAGGGGGATTCCCGGGAGGAAGAAGACCAACGCAAGTGGGAGAGAGATCGATTTGAACGACGCAACACCGCCATCCCTGGGAAGTCCGAGGACGGTGTCCTTTCTTCCTTCCGTTCGCGAAGGGAAACCCAGCAGGGGACTGCGTCGAGATGCTCGGCAGAGTCTCGCGCCAAGTACATTTGATTTATATTTGGTTCCGTGCTCAGGAGACCACTTAGAGATCGGCCACGTAGCCTTCGACGACGATCCCCGGGGCTAGTTCCGTGGTGACACTCTCGGGGTTGTTGGACTCGTTGTTCCTCCCCCAGGCCCCTTCCCTGCCGTACTTCTCCGACATCCGGACCATCTCGTTGGGGCTCCACTCGGGGGACTCATCTCGGCGACTTCCACTGCTTCTGTACACGACATTCGACTCGTACATGTCGTCTCGATTCGACGATCGGTAGCCCGACATCGGGGGCGGCGAAGGGGCGTAACTGTCGTAAATGGGGGTGCGTTTCATCGAGGCTCTCTGGTGCGGAGTTTTCCTCAGCATTGCCTGAAATCATTTCCATCCACCACACTCTAACCTTTGTTTCTCGGCAGCACTGAAAGACAAGTGGAAGTAACTGTCTAACCTGGAAGTTAAAAGGCGGACCATCGTTCTCGTGGTTGTCGTTGTTGTTGCGACGTCCCAGCATCTGCAGTTCGTGGATCGGATTCACGCTGTGGATCGGTATCAAACGTGGAATCAGTTATCGATAAGCCTCATCAAGGAACAGAGTCGACCCTGAAAATCCGCGAGTCTTCGGGAACCACTCACCGACTGTTACTAGGGTTGTTCTTGTTGGCATTGTCCTCAAATTCCCAATCGTTGTATCCCTCATTCCTGGCTCGACTGTCCGGATTCTGGCTACGTGCTGAAGGCATCTGGTTGTAGGGTATCGGCGGGGGTGGGGCGGCTTTCCTAGAACGGATTGACCCGGCACCGTCGTAATCATTCTGCAATTAAAAAGGGAATTACTTGCACCATACAGCTCTGTGCCAAGAAGATCCGTTCTAGAGGAAGTTCTAAAGGGATGTGAAAGTGGCATCCGAAAGGTTCATGAAAGTTACCTACGATCTGGGTGTACCGAATCGTTTCAGACTATTAACAAATTAAATAAATAAAAAAAAATTGAAATTTTATGGGCGTCAGGACCTTCCTTATCGCCTAGANTATATCAGAATATTTATAAAACTTATCTCCAAACTGGGGGCGCCGAATTGTAGGAAATTTGAACACGTGATTGTGGAGGCCCTAGGGAAGAGCGCGATACTCATGAAATTTCATTTTTCAAAGGCAACTGATATATCCTAGACTAGAAGCAAGGCCATATTTTTGTTTGAAAAAGTGAAATTTCATGAGCGTAGAGTTCTTCCTTAGGGCGTCCACAATCACGTGGCGAAGTTTCCAATTATACGGTGCACCCTGTTTGGAGAAAAGTTTTATAAATCTTTTTGACGTTTCAGTATATACATACATATATATGCATGTATGTATATACCGAAACGAAAGTGTCATATATATATTTATACATGACACTTTCATATCACCTTAATTCCAGCGATCATTGGAGAATCGCCATCAATCTGGTACACTGGGAGACATCAATGCACTCCCATCCTGCACAGGCGATATCGTATCTGCAGGGGAGGCACTCATGTCCGCTACTGTACTAGCGTTAACGTAGAGGGACTTACTGAGCGAGGAACGTGAGCGTTGGGGCGTCTCGGCGGGCTACTGGGGTTTCGGGGTTGCTGAAAGCTGGGAGCGGCCCTGCCGCGAGACGAGTCTTCCGGGGGACACCGAACGGGGACATTGGGGTCCCTGGAAAACGGAGTGTTGATCAGACTCTGGGCTCCACCGGCGGGCGCGTGGGCTACGCGGTGAGGTGAGTTCGTCGTTTGAACCTCGACGTCTGAAAATCAGAGAATGGTTATGGAGACCCGGGGCGCCCTCCAGGGGGAACCTCTCTCTCGTGCGAGACAGTCGGCAGGAGTCGCGGGGCTGTCTCTGGGAGAGACGCGGGCTAGGAGGGTGATCCGCGCCGGAGAGAGGCGTCTCTACGATAGACCATAATCCGAGCCGGCATACGTTCCGATAGTGATAGGTCTGTACGTATGGCCCAGGCATGCACGATAAGACATTGATTTTTAACATCTCTTTTGTTATCAGGGAATCCCGACCGTCGAATGTGCAACAAGTGATAGGCACCTCTGGTGTGTACGTTGGCGTTGGCCCAAGGCACGGTTTGTCTCCGAAATGGCGTATCCCAGGGCTCGATTTCGTCGTCAGACATCGAGGATGAAATGGATCTGCGGAACGCATTCTCATGGTAACATATGAAGAGGACCAATGTGGGACTTACCAGAGAGAAGAGAGAGAGAGAGAGAGATAAGAGAGAGATAGAGAGAGAGGGGGCTGGGCTGGGTTAGGGTCCAGGTTTGGCCAGGCTCTAGGATCTCGCCCTTTCATTCCTTTTCTACATGTATACTCTCCACTCGCTCCCGATTTCTCGCCTAATCGGCCCGATCATTCTTTCAGGCTCGCCCTCGATGATGTCCTAGCAGGGTCCAGGTTTCCAGCCGGGTTTCGGGAAGAGGTTCTCGTGGATGGTCCGCGACGACACGGGTCGACGCTTACCCGGGACCTCTCTTCGCTTTCGAGGGATCGTTCATGTAGGACGTGTCGAAGAATGGAAGTTCCTGATGCATGTCGAAGGGTAGCTTATGTACTTGCGGTGGTCTCGTCTGGCCTAAGTACGACGACGCCTTTACTCCCGGGTCGATCCTCTCCAGCGGGACGCGTTCATTCGTCCCCTGAAGCGTCCCCACTATCGCCTGATTGAAGAGATGGACCTGAAGACGAGGATAAACGGAGATACGTTAGCTAGGGTTATTTTAAGTGGGGAGTCTCCTGGGACGGAAGAGCACTCACTTGCTGAGAGAACTGGACTAGGTCCTGGTACCGGGCTGCACGGTAGTGTAGGAGGACCTGATAAAGACTCTTCGACCTCCACTTGCTGCTGTAGAACTTCATGAAGTCCTTCGTCTCCTGGCCCATCTGATCCTCTTTCAGAAGGGGGCCGACTTGCTTCCTCGTCGTGTGTCCCCTGTATGCTGTGGAAGCGAGAATTACCGTCGGAAACGAAATCGTGAAGATCTTGAAGAGTACTCTTCACCGTTGTCGGACACATCAGGGCTGATTGCAGATCAAGTGAGCTTTATATTGAATATAAATTTACTATCTGTTTACAGCTCTCCTTGATCCCTGCAATCGTTCGAGTGTCTCTTCGTATTCAAGTTACCTTTCTGCAGGACCAATGCTGCTTCGTCTTGAGACATTTCGCGGCTCTTCTGCCTCTGCATCGACGCTTGCTTCACTGAAAAAATACCCGTTAATCTCATCTAGAAGAGCGAGGCCCGGAGAAGAACCTCGTCTTCTCGGAGAACGAAGGATGGAACTTTGCCCATCCTTTCTATCAAAGTGTTATCGATCTTCCCGTTACCTACCAACTTCCTTTTTAACCTTGACAACTTTCGAGGCCATGCACTTCCTCGCGAGGAAGGCTCTGAGCATGCACTGCACCTTCACGATCTTCTTCACCTGGGTCTCGTATAATCTGGACAAGTACTCCTCGTTGTAGTATTTCAGGAAAACCTTGGTCTTGCCGATTATCCAGCCCTCCATTTTCAAGCGAATCAGCAACAATCGACAATTGTCCTTCGTCAACTCCACGTTCTCGTCGAAGTCAAACGCCAGGAATTTGTACCTGAAGATCGAAATGATTACTCCTAAAAGTAACAAAGATGGCTTGACATTGAATAAATTCAGTGCTCTCTTTAAGGGGATATGAAAGTGGCATCTGAGGCGTCAATCATTCATGAAACTTTTCTATGAACTGAGTGTACCGAATCGTTTCACATTTTACAATGTGAATATAGAGGTTATAAGGAAGGTCCTCACAACCTATGAAATTTCATTTCTTATAACAAATTTGTAAAAGATTTTTATTTCATGGGTGTTAGGACCATTGTTATCACATAAATGAGTTGGGGGCAGAGATGAGGAGGATCCCTGAATTGAGCCCCGTTGGGGGGTATCAGGTGTCAAGTGCGTTAGCCGTCCACATCCTCCGCCAGGGGGTAGTACAGGACGCGATCGCGCGACCCTACCCGTGAGCAATCTCCCAACTCATCTCTGATATTTCTGATTGTCACGTTTTGTCTTGATCAAGTGCTAGTTTTTCACCTTCTTAGGAATTCCTGGAACGGAATCCTATAAGGATATCCACGTTGCCTGGCTTTGGCAGTGTCCAGGACAGCGAGTGCCCTGATTTGTTGTCGGACCACCTCCTTGTAAAATCCTCGGGGACTCCCCTCAAGATCCGCCCTTATGCACCTCACGAAGTGGGTCCCACCACTTCCGCCTCCTATGGAGAGGTTCTTCAGCACCTCCAAACTGGTGGACCTGAAGATCGCCGCACAGGTTCGCATTTTCCGGGTCTGCGAGAACTGCCCCCGAGAAGCCGTGTTGAATCTCTTAAAGAAGGAAGCAAACGTTCTCATTTAGGACAATCATCAATTAGGATAAGATAACCATTAAGGCATTGAATTGATCCTCAAACGATGCCGTTTTTCGCATTTAAAGCAATGTGCAATGAAGAAGTAAAATTGAAGGATATCGATTAATATTGTCTTCTTCGCCGTTGAATTCTTCTCAACGTTCAGATAGTTCTTATAATTCCTTTCCTGAAGAAAATAATGCGATAAAATTTGGATTAAGTAAGCGGCAAAGAAGTTATGGGTCAACTCGATAGGATTTGATGAAGGAACTTTTCTGCTGATCGGCCAAACCTACTCTTAGTTTTGCAACTTCTTGGCCCATTAACGCAGCACCCCATTTGCTCTTGGCAGTGGTCGTCTTCTCCACGGTCTTCGGCTGCTCCACGACGATCGTCAGGTTGCCCGACTTTGACAATTGATTGACGAACAATTGTCGGACGTTCTCCGTCTCGGACAATCTCATGGTCTCGATCATCTCAGGGGGTACGAAGTCTCTGTTCTTTTCGGGCATCTCGCTGGCGTCGTAGATTAATTTCCCGGTGTAATGGGCGACCGTGAACTCGTGGGTACCAACGACTTTTACGTGGACTCCTCGGGTTCTGCTCTTCAGCTTCTCGAGGACATATTGAGCATCCTGGAGCTGGCGCGATGCGTCGTCGATCAGGTGGAACAAGCCATAACTTTTGTCCATCAGCTGATCGATCGCTTCCTTGTTGTCGTAGAAGTGCAACTGTTGCACCGGGATGTCCTCTTCTTGTTGCTCTTGCTGAGGAAAGCGCGAGAAGGATTAATCTCATACCTCTTTAATCCATGAATTAATTCATTTACCATTTCCCAGGCGAAGACTCTCTGGTTGTAATGGCACTGGAGCTGTTCGTTCATGGTGTTCACGACCAGCTGTTCGATCCTGTTCACAGCGAAGCACTCGAAGCCGAAGAGGTCCATGACGCTGATGCTGAATTTGTCACCACTAAGAAAAGAGGCTTTTAAACGTTTCCATCCCTCTTAGGAACTTGAAGAGCTTATATCAAACGTTCATCAGCGAAGGCAGAGTTGTGCCTTTACACTTACAAAAGAGTGCGAGTAGTGGTGAGCTTCAAATTGATGTTGTTGACGACCCAATCAAGGAGTCTCTGATAAATCGTATTTGCCAGGACATCTCTGGCCTCCTTCGCCTCTTCACATGTGTGCTTCCTGCGAACCGCTGCTCCCTTCCTTATCAAGCAATAGTTAACCAGGGACCAGGTGAACTTCTTCGTGTCGACGCTCAACAGATCGGCCACTGAAACGGTTCGTCACTTTCTTATTAACTTACTCGTTTCGATAGAATCCCTTTTTACTGTTGAATTTACCTGCATTGGCCGTGTCCATGTTTTCAATTTCAGCTTCTCCATTGTTGCCCTCCACGAACCTGACCTCACCCAGTATCAGAATAGCCGCCAGGACCTTCCAAACGAACCCTGCGTGTTCCTCCATCTCCAGGACCCTCAAATCCTCCATCAACCTATGGTATTTACTCGTGTTCCCGTGGGGGTCGTTCCTAACTTTGAAGGAACGCTTGTTTCCGGAACTTTTGTCGCCGATTCGAAGATACCGGTACCTTCTTCCGGGTAGAAGAAAATAATTCCGCAACTTTCCAGTGGCGTCCAGGCCGTCGTAGAAGTAGTAGAAGACGTGGTAGTTGGATTGGTTTCTATACAAAGAACATTGGGCTGATTTAGCGATTCTAATCTCGGGAATTACGTTTTATCTTGAATGTTGCAGTTATAAACAATTACCAAACTGTTCTTTCAAGCACTACTCTTCGCAGTTTCCTTACTAAGTAAATTGAATTTCTTGCACAAATGTACTTGGCTCGAAACTCAACCAAATGGTGAAACGCAAGCCCCTGAAAGAGGGCCGTTCATCGTCCTTTCCACAAAGCGTGTGGTATGTTTTTAAGGCGTTAATACATGTATATAATGTAAATATTAATCTATAATGAACATTTTCTTTGTTTGTTTCATTACAGATACTTTCTACCTCCACTGGAATTATCCCCGATTTACATTCTGCACATCCGAATATACCTATCTCTCGTAGAGACCCGCCACTTCTCCATCTGGTAGAGCCACAAAATGGCGCCGGAAGCTTTTCCAGTCGACCCGTAAGTCGTCTGCACTTGCAAAAGGCACCTCGTCGAGTTCGGATTGAGAGGCGTCGCAGCATGCGTGAAGGCCTGGACCACTTTGATCGCCCTCAGGACTCTGGACCCTGCGTCTTGCAAGCTCTGGTAAAAACAGAAATTCATTTGTCCACTTATCCATATCAGCATCTAATTTCCCATCTTGTAATACCTTTCCCAGGTACATGAGGTGCTCGATGATGTACATCATGTTCGTAGTCTTGCCCGAGTTGCTCTCCCCAGCCAGAAGAATATGCTGCGGTTCCTCGTTGTGCAGGACATCCTGATAAGCGCTATCAGCGACCGCATAAACGTGAGGTGCGTTGTCCGACCTGGACTTGCACTGATACTTTGTGTGGAACTGGAAGCACAAGTAAGCTTACAGACCTCTTCGACCTTGAAGACGCCCTCAAATTTAATCATCATCGTAACAAGGTAAATCAAAAAGAAATTATCGTCACCCCTTCTAATAATACTCGTTCTCACGACATTTATATTTTAGGTCTTACATGGGGTCCGTAAATGTCGTGCTCCTCGTTCGGATTAACGACCAGCAAGATGTCGCCTACAAAGGTCTGGAAGTGGCCCTGCCTAAGTCTCTCGTTCATCTCCTCCAAAATGGCGTCCTCGGTGAGGTTCTCCAGGGCCGCGAGGTCCTCGACATACATCTGCTCGGGAGGCGCCGTCTGGTGGGTCTGCAAATATCGATGAATATCATCATTAATAACCGTTAATTCGACTGCGTCTATTCCTTCCTTTAAGAAGGAGACTGGGGGCCGCTGGACGCTTCCTGTACCTTGAGGAACCCTTTCCTGACGATGACTTCCGGCTTCCTCTCGACTCGTCCCTTCTCCTTGACGTTCATCGCCAGGGCCTTGATTTCCTGCGTCAGCTGCGGAAGAATCGCGATCGGTCGTTAATTGCACCTCCACCGATAGTGCCGTAATGCCGGGTTGCACCGTACAAGCCTCTACTTACCGGGTAGTCGTTTTCCGGCAGTTCCGACAGGAACGGATGTTCCATGATTTCCGCCATGAAGGGTCTGTTGTCGGGGTTCTTCTCGAGGCACCTGAAAATGGCCGGGATTAATCGTGTAGATGAAAATTAAGAGCGCGTTGCAGCATCAACAATACTCCTTGTACACGTTTTACAGGTGTCCCACTAACTCGTTGATGAAGTCGTTGAAGTTCTGCGACCAGTTGGCTGGTCTGAAGAGTCCCGGCGGGGGATTCCTGACGATTTGGAAGAGCGCCCTCGTGGGGTGCATATCCTGGAAGGGCGGCCTCCCATCGGCTAACTCGATGGCCGTGATCCCGATTGCCCAGACATCCGCCCGACTTCCGTAACCGGACTCGGGGTCGCCCTTGCTGGTGACCACTTCCGGCGCCATCCAGTTCGGGGACCCTATGCAGGTCTTCCGCTTGCCCATCTCGCCCTTAATCATCCTGGCCAAGCCGAAGTCCACCAGCTTGATCTCGCCCTCCTTCGTCAGCAGGATATTGTTCCCCCGGATGTCGCGGTGGATGACGTTGTTCTCGTGCAAGTGCACCACCGCCTAGAGGAGAAGCGGAGGCTGAGTCGCGGTCAGGCCCAGCAGAAGAGGCCCCACGGGAATGCCACCGGGAGTCTCATGGGGGGACCCAGGGAAACCGGGGAAATTTCGGAATTCGCCGGCCGGCCGGGCGCGGAATTCTCGCGTTTCTCTAGATTTACTGCAAATTGAACGATCTATAATTTGCGGGCCGGGCCTTAACGCGTGTAACAAGCGGGGCCCCGAGGCCCGGGGACGGGGGCTCCACGGAGTGCACCGGTGCAGCATGCGCATGAAATCATTAATACCCGGCTCATCAGCTCGGACTCGAAGGGACCGTTTCTGTCTCCCTCTCTCTCCCCGCCTCCTCTCGGGACTGGGAGGAAGAGAGAGGGAAGAGCGCAGAGAAAGGGGCTCGCAAAGGGGCACCGAGAAGGAGGGAACCACGGAGAAGCGTTCTCTCGGTAACGCGCACTGCACTTCGCGGGGCATTTATTCCGCGTGTAATTTGCCGGCATTAAACGTCAGGGTGGCCTGATTTACCGCAAGAGTGGCCGTGGACGAATCGCTACCGGGCCCCGGGAACACGTAGCGCGGTGCGCATCGTGCCCCGGCATAGCTGGGGCAAACGTGGAGCATAGATGCGCAATAACCGTGGCATAGCTGCGGCATTACCGAGGCATACGAGGATCATAGTTGGGGCATATATAGAATATAACTATGGCAAAAGTATACTGGGAGACATCAATGCCCTCCCATCCTACACAGGCGATGCCGTATCTGCAGGGGAGGCATTCATGTCCGCCATTGTACAGTATACGAGGGTCACCGTCACGAAATATTCAAGACATATTACCACTCATATATTTTGAGACCGTACAAAACGATGACGATACATCTCCTCGAGTAATTTATGTATGTATATACTTAATAGTGCGGAGGATTAGTATACTAAGCCTTCTGAAGAAGTGTAAGAAAAATGTCACAACGGTTAATTCTTTTAAATTAGGAATATTGTCACGTGTCCCAAAGTATATGATCGGTATTGTATGTACAGCATTGCCGCGGCATGTATAGGATCGTAATCAGGGCATATGTAAAGCATGGCATACGACATAGAGCGTAACATCCCACGAAACACGGTTACATAACAATGATATAACCGTTAGATAACGTTTGGAACATATAATGTAACATACATATGACATATAAGGAAAATGTGTATTACCATTTCTTAGACAGCTATATAACACGGTTATAAAGCAAATAATGTAACGTATTCAGAACATATCGTTAACATGTTACATGTTGCCTTAATGTTATATAACTGCAATGCTAACAAGTTTGTAACAATGTTACCGATACGGTAATAATTCGACGTTATATGATATTAATGTATCTTTTGAATATTCGTTATATATCGTGTTATTCCAATGTTATTTCATTGTAACATAAGGTGTTTAGTGGGATAGGTAGACTTGGAAAAGTTTAGGAATATGTCATTTCGATAAGTTTCAAGTTGGGCAAGAAGCGGGTAAATTTCTGGGTCGACTGTAGCCCTGGAGTGGATTGCGCCCGTGGCCTCTCGTAAGGGAGCACGCGAGGTATGGGTTTCATTTGTGAGGAGGTTAATTAGCGGGCCATCTCGGCTGTCTTATTTGTAATTTATACCCGACCCATTGACGCGTCGCTGGGTCCGTCGCGGCCCTAAGATGGCTTCGACTCGGACTTTGATCCGACGCCTATAGGCGTCCCCTGGATGACGAGACAAAGCCCGATGGCCGCCATCGGCCTCGGGACGCACCATCCGGCACGATTATGTTATAATAACCTGGCTGCCGACGCTACCCACCAGGCTCCACGCAGGTGGTATTTATTGCAGGGGGAGCGAGAGAGAAAGAGAGGCCGCGGGAAGACACCTTCGGCTCGTGCTTCGACATTCCTCGGGAGCCATTGGACCCTTGGAGTCCTCCAGACACCCAGGTGAATATTTCCTAGACTTTCGCTACCGACATCCATTTACCTTGATCACTTCCTTCAGGGTGTAGGCTATGTGCTCCTCGCGCATCTTCTTGTCCGCCGCCACCAGACCACGCACCATGTCCATCACCGGCCCGCCCTCGCATAGCTGTGGACAAGTCCTCTCGTCACTCTCTTCTCAATGATTGCATGGTAAGAAATGAATATAAATGAAGAAACGAGGGTGAAAAATGTCCCGCAGGGAGATTACGCCCTGGGAATGCCGTACGATGGCGGAAGCAATCTGGATCTTCAGGGTCTCGGGATTGGATCTTGGTTTGAACTCTTTCCCTCTTCTCGGAGGAATGCATTATTAAATCTCCTTCCTTCCACTCCGGGCATTCCTCGTTTCTTCGTAGCCTAACATCGAGTCGGTTCTTCGGTACTCTTGCGAAGGCAGCGAAATGGAAGGAGAGCGGTCAGGGGGGCCATTTTTTCTTTGGCTATAGCTGTATTGCTGTGCGCAATAATTTTATACAAAAAGAGAAGGAAAAAAGGAAAAAACGGGAAAACAGGCCGTAGGTTTCCTCTCCTTCCGTTTTGCTATCTTCGTAATGTATCGCACAAATGTATTTGGCTCGAAACTCTTACGAGTTTTTTTATCACCCCAGGGGGTGGAATACATATATTCTACGTCCATGCCCATGCATCGAAGTCTCTTCATCTTAACCCCCTACAGGTCCAAAATGGACACGATTATAATTAATTTCTGAAACTCTTGAGAATATGCAAACCGTATAAAGCTTATCGTAACCACCCCTGAAGATTCAGAATTAAAAATTTCGAATCGAGATGAGGAGGATTCGAGCAAAGGTACTCGCACTTAATGGCGGGCTTTGTAAGTCAATCGTTGCAGGCTTGCAGCCGGAGAAAGGAGAGAATCAGGTGGCCGGGGGTAGAAGGGGGTAAAAGGCACGCATAACGACAATGTGGTAGAGATTTATCGCCGGCGATAATTCATATCAAGCGTTTTACGGGCGTACCTGCAACCACGTCGGCGGCGGCGCAACGCCGCGCCAAGTGCACGTCCCGTGCACCTCTTGTGCACTTGGCGCGGCGCGGCAAAAGCAGCTTTTGCCCCCTTCCCCCCAGGAGAGGGGGGGAGGAAAGGAGGGAGGGGGGCCGTTACCTCGCGAGATTTTTAACGTCCCGCAATTAATTCCCGACGACCCCCCCGACTCACCCCGACCCCCTCGGGATCCTCTTTTTACCGGGCGAATCATTCTCCAGAGACATTGTACACCCCGAGTCGTACGTTAAATCGATAAAGAGGAGGGCCAATTACAATTTGCGAGTCGTTATGCTTTTCGACTCCAGCGGAGGTCCGGCTGTAAATTACGACGCGGCTCCTCGGATTTCGGTCACTCTCTTTTCGACGATGTACTCGTCTACCTGGCTGCTGGGATTTACTGGCGACACCTGGGGTTCGATGTTTAGTAAAATTAAATTTAACTTTAACAGGCAGTTCTTTATGTTTCTAGGGTAATGGCGGTTCGAGTAACTTCTTGTGCTTTTGTGAGAAAAAAATTGTTTCATCGGGAGATGAGGAAAGCAAGCGGCCTAGGTCGCGGTCGCGACACTCGGGCAGGGGGTTGGGGGATTTTTTTAAGGTTAAGGGGATGTTTTCACGGGTCGAAGAATTTTTCTCAGGGGGACGGGAATTCTCCGGCACTCCGCGAGTGCTGTCGCGAATTCGTCGCTCGCAATTTAAGGACAAGTCATAATATTTAGGCCCGCCCGTGGAGGTCCGCCCGTAAATTAGGGCCGCGACGTGGCAGGCCTCACCTGCGTATACGAACGAGTTTAATGATTGTTTAATGGCCACGCGTGTCGTAAATTATCCGTGTATTCGACCGTCTCAAATGCTCGAAATTGCCTCGGGCCGAGGGCACGCAGGGGTGGAGGAGCCGCGTCGGACCGAGCGGGGGGAATCCCGAGGGATTACGACGTAAGCTCTCCCGAGCGCGTCCTCCCAGTTCGATTATTATTCCCGGTCACTTATCCCTGTCGAAATATGCCGATTCATGTAGGAGAAAGTATTAATTATGAAAATTAAAATCTGGGGAGAAATTTATCGAGCTCGTTCGTCCTCACGGTTGAAGAAATATGGTCTCGAGGAAAATCAAAATGCGTTCCTGCGATTTTTGTATATATATATATATATATATATAAAAGAAAAAAGGGAAAACAAGCTGAGAATTCGCAACACGTCCTTAGGTTGTTTCACTTTCGATTATTATTCCCGGTCACTTATCCTTGTCGATATATGCCGATTCGTGAAGGAGAATGTATTAATTATAAATATTACAATTTGGAGAGAAATTCATCAAGCTTATTCCTCCTGGCGACATGTGAATTAGAAAATAATGTGAAGTTTTGGGTGAATATGAAAATGTGTCCTTGCAATTTTGTTATACATATAAAAGAAGACAACTGCTCACCTCCATGACGAACCAGATCTGATCATGCTCGGTCTTTTTACCAGATCTCTTCCTGTACATCCCATAAAAGTCCGGGAGATTCGGATGCCCGGCGAAGTCCCGCAGGACTCGGTACTCCTCGACGATCAAGCCCTGCGTGTCCGGGGTTAGTTTTTGGATCTTCACGGCCACCTTTTTATTCCCTGGGTAATCGAAGACAATATCGAGATCATTTTGTATTAATTTCCGACATTTTTTACCCACCAGCCTGAGTGTCAACGGCCTCGTAAACGTCCCCACAGACTCCGGAGCCGATGCAGTCGTTCAGGATGTACCTCTTCCCGGGGTCCTGGATACTATCGAGTCTCTGGAGCGTCCCTTGGCCTTCTCTATTGTCAACTTCTTCCCTCCCCCGCCTGCCGCCCCCGCCACCACGTCTCCCGTAGTCGTCCATCTCTCTACCGACCCTTTACCTCTGCAACGAGATAAAAAATCAATTCAGCACCCCCTTCTTCCTTTTCGCTAATTATTAAAATTCAATACTAGAGTTACCATCCCGGCCTATCTAGAAAAAAATAACCGATGGTCTTACTCCCCGTGAATAGCGAAGGAAAAAATAAAAAATTGAGGAGGTGTGGAGAAGATCAGGGGTGATGATTTGCTACCGGCCCTTTACCTCTGCAACGAGACATTAAAAAATCAATTCAGCCACTCCTTCTTCCTTTTCGCTAATTATTACAATTCGATACTAGAGTCACCATCCCGGCCTACCTAGAAAAAAATAACCGATCGTCTTACACCCCGTGAATAGCGAGGGGGAAAAAAAAAATTGAGAAGGTGCGGGGAAGACCAGGGGCGGAGATTCGGCTTTGTTGAGAGCGACGATATCCAATTTGTTGCATTTACAGAGGTGACATGGACTCGAGAGGATGTTAGAGATGCTGCTTCCGCGTGCAGGGATGCATTCTGCTGCATCCTGGATCGCGAGAGAGGGTCCGGAGGGAACGTGACGAGGTGGAATCCCAAACTCGAGGATCGACACCCTGCGAGAGGGCGAGGAGAGAAAGAGTTACAAAGGCCGAGTGCTAATTATGTATTTCTTCCAGAGTGGCTCGAACACGCCGGGTTACCGTTAATTACCTCGAGAGCTCGGCTCGTTTCCGCCTTTAAGAACCGCCGGGAACCCGAGGATGCACTTCGGGGGCGAGGTCGCCTTGATTTAAGGATGCACATCCCGATTCCCGAGACTCGAGGACACTGCACCCTTTATACAATTCTAACCACAGGTGGATCCATGCCCTTTGAAATCATATTTTCCCTCAAAATTAAAATAACCGTTTCAGTCGAGAGCGTCCTAACATTTGAGACTAGGTTCTTCTGCACAAAATGGCGCTTCTGCATGGATTCAAAGTTAAGGTGGTATGAAAGCGGAATTCCCGGAGTCAATTCTGTGTTTATGAAACTTTTCTCGAGACTAGATGTACCAAATCATCTGAAATTTACCACGTGAATTTGGAGGGCCTTATGAAGGTCTTGACACCCGTGAAATTTAATTTCTTTTTTCTTTTTTATATAAAATTAGAAGACCATTTATGAACAAATGTAAACAAAATAAAATTTCATGGGTATCAGGGCCTTCCTTAGGGCCTCCATAATCTCGTGGTAAGACTTCTTAACGAATCGGTACACTCGACGTGGAAGAAGTCTCATGAAACGCCTCCTTGGGCGTCACTTTCATATCACCTTAAAGTGAAGGATTAGATAAAATATTGACAAACAAATTTGAGGAAACAATGAAATCTCACAGGTGTTAAGACCTTCCTTAAGACCTCCGCATGTCTGTGAAAAAGAAAAAAAAAGAACATGTCAGACGATTCGGCACGCCCAGTTCGCAGAAAAGTTTCATCGCCTTAAGCTTCCTCACTTTTGAGGACGAATCCGATGGGTCATGCAAGTCCTTTTCAGGAACATCGATTGCTTCTTGAAGACCCCAGGACTGGAGGGGTACGGAGAAACAATAATTTCCGAGCTTTCTTATTTAAAAGCATTTTCTTTAGTGAACCGAATTTCTTTAAAGCGCACATTCTTTGCGTCCGAATCGCCAGCCTTGAAGACGTCGCCGCTGTTTTAGACAGCGATCCGCTTATGCATATGCTCGGCGCAAAGCTAATTAGGGGGCCTCTCATTTGCCGACTTATCGTCTGCTTTAATGCGCTTTGAAAGGGCCTCGGGAGCCCCTGAATCCAGAAGCTCGAGGACGCCGTTTTCCCAGGGCCGCGTCGCGACGGCCCGCAAGATGGCGGCGGTCCTCGGCCGCTCGTGCGGTGCACGCCAAGTACGCCGGCAAGTACTTGTGGGGCCTCGTAAACCCATATCCGTTTATCGGCTCTCCGCCGATTACGTAAGGTATTTAGTGCGCGAATCCGTGGTTCTTATTCCCGTTTCCGTGGCCGAGCGAAGGTGCGAGCCCTCGCTCGTTACTTCGAGAAGTCCTCGAGGAGGTTCCCGAGGGACTCGTTCGGTTTGTAGCGGCGAACTACAAGGGACGGGAATCGAGCCTCGTTAATTGGATTCGAACTCGCCTCCCTGGGGAATCCCTCGGCCTTATCGGCACCGAGCACTCGCCGACTCGACCGATAACCAGAGGAAGAGTCGCCGTGGAATCCTCTTCAGGGTGTTCGATCCTCCCTTTCGCTCTTCCGAGTCTTCGCCGACCTCTTCGGCAACTGGCGTCCTTATCGGGGAAGTCCCGACTCCTCCTCGGTCTCTTCCATGCCGGATTAAATCTCGAAGGTCGAGGCCGATTAGCTCCCCCTTTATTGGAGTTCCATTCTTCAAAGTGTCTTCTTCCCTTTGGGTCGCTCACTTAAAGACGTTCAGGAGATCCAGGGAGCTTTGGAAGAAATAATCTATTCTGGATATGCACTGTGGAGAAGTCCATTCGGTGGAGTCTTAAGGGGATGTGAATGTCGCACATGAAGGGCCAATCGTTCGTGAAACTTTTCTTTGTACGAAATTTAATTTTTAAAATTCTTTACGAAAAAGAAAATTTTCTTTATTATTAAGACCTTTAGAATCTCCACGTTAACGCAATAAAGATTGAAACGGTTCGGTACGAAAAAAATGTTTCATAAACAATTGGCCCTTTAAGTGCGACTTTCACATCCCCTTAAGACTTCTCCATAATGCATATCCAGAATGAATTATGTACTGCACTGCTATATAAGCTCATGTGCAGTATGTACATTTCGATATCCTCAACGTATAATCTTAAAACTGCTCCCAAAAGAAATACTAAAATAAATAACGACGTTTAATTTCACTGTTATCAATGACTGCTGTCAGAAATATCGAAAGTGGATTAAATTGCAAAGTTATTGCGTTCATCATTGAAATCTCGAGAAAAGTTCAAATTTAGGGCTCTTTAGGGTTAGGACAAGGGTTATGGTTGAGATAAGAAAAGCGCAGACGCTCTCCTTGAATTCTTCACTGTGAATAATTAATTTTGGGGTAAATTAGAGTTAGAACAGAGCATTAATCAGGCTTAAACCAGGCCTGGAAATACGACTTTCCGATCTATTGCATTTAGGAGACGCTGTTTCTTCTTGGCGCGAATTGCGAAATATACAAAATGGCCGCCTCGTTGGTCAAGACTCTGGAAACTTCTGTCCAGGTTGGCGGGTCGCATAATCCACCGATTTGTCCGCGCGGCGCGTTCCGTGTAACTCGGCTTTTTGCACCTTGTAATCGAGACGCGTCGGTCGGTAAAGAAGGACCCTGTCCCGTTGGTAGCAGTGTCCAGAGCGGTCGCGGTTTCCCGCGCGACGAGACGCCCTCGTCGTCCCGACTCGGCGGGGCGCTAAATTATCAGCGACGCGAGCGCGCGGTCCGTGATTTCAGAAAAACCGATCGCGCCGTTCCGCCGCCCTAACCCCTCGAGGGGATCGCCCGAGGTGTTCGCTTCCCGAAATGCCTGTGGGAAACTTTATATCGGACGAGGTCGCCCGGAATGCACCGCGACCGGTTGCCCCGACCGTGCGAACCCGCCGCCATCTTGCGAGCGCCGCGCGAACCTCCGCGCTTTCTGGGAACGTCTCGGCCGCGTTTTACGGACGATCGAAGATTCGCCGGAGAGTTTGAATTCATTGAAGAGAGTTTCAATTTACGAGGAGGAAGAAGAAGAAGAAAAGGCGAGGAAAAAGAAGCATTCCCCTGAATCATCGAGACAGTTCTCCGTGCTAGATTTGGATCAAGTCTCGTCGATTGGAAGAAGTTAACCTCTCCGAGTTCTTTCAAGAGGAAGATTCGCCGAAGAGTCGGACTTTTCCCGACGAAAAGAGAGAAAAACGAGGAAGAGAAGAAAAATATAAGAAGTGAGGAAGTATTCCCCCGATTCTTCGAGATAGTTCGAGCTATTCGCAGAAATTCTCGTCGGTTGCACGAGGTTGACCTGTCCAATGCGTTCTAGTGGAAGTGCAGAGTGGTGTAGAGGAAGCTTTACAGTGCTCGAAGAGGATCGAACAAGAGGAGGGAAGAAAGCGACCCTGACCCCTGACTCGTGAATTGTAAACGCATTAAACTCCCTGAAGCCCCCAGAAACCGTTGTCGGTATTCTTTCGCGAGGTTATCCCGAGGAACGAGTCCCAAAGAAGTCCGTGGAACCGGTGAACACGGCCGGCGCCGGAATAGGGAGGAAAAAGGGCCAGAATTATGCCGCGAGGTGCGTCGCGCTTCCCAGTCGACGTTTGCCATAATTTTCAAGGAGGCTTAATCGATCCTGGGAATCTCACGGGCCGAGCTCGGGTTCCGCGAAGCTCATGCAACATTTAGCTCGGTGGTAACGCTCGGCTCGGAAATGCCGATATACGTCAAGCGCGTTCTCGGGGGCTGGTGGTCTCCAAGGCCCCGGCGCTGGGCCCGATCGGGCCTCGGTATTGGTATTGGTATCGGTATTGGGCCCGGTATCGGTCCCGGCGTCGGTCTTGGTCTTCCTCTTGCGGACGCGGAGGCAAAACACTGCGGTACACGTGTTCTGGCACCTCTCGGAGACGTATTGCGGAACGCGTAAAACGCGTCCCGCTAGCCGCGGGGGGGACTTGTTAATTGCGGCATTACTGCGATCCGAAAGAGATAAGGTCTTCATGTCCTGTCCTTCCCGAGTCCCGCGGGTCCCGCGGGATTCTTTCACGCGCGCGTCCTCCGCTGAAGAACCCCGTCGCCGAGGAACTCCGAGGTGGACAGCGACTCCGAGGGGTCCGATGGGGGAACTTTTATCGCCAGTGATTAGGCCCTAGGAGGGGGTGCTCGATTACCCTGAGGTATTCGTATTCGTATACACGCATGCCTTGTACAGGTAGTGCAGGTGCAGAATTTCGTCAACGTTCGTATCAAAATGGAAAGCTTCTTATCGTTATTAGACAGTGTTTTACATATCGGCGACGTTACCTATACGTC